AATTAACTAATTAAAACTATTCATATGATAATAATACTAAAATATAAATCCACATTTCATAAATAAAGGACAAAGGTGCTCTACGCTATTTTAAAAAATATATAAAAAAAAAAAAAGATCCACCATACTTCTAACTTTTGATAATTTTAGAACTGATTGAGAAATTGGAGTACAAAATTTTGATTTAATGAATGTTTAAGAACTGGTTTAGTTCGTAAACATTTCGATCAGTGCTTAAATTATTTCTAAACCTTTTTTTATCTTTTTTCAAAAAGAAAAGAAAAAGCTGCTCCTCACTTCCCAGATGAAGAGAAATGCTGCTCCTGACCGAACTCTTGATCTTTTAAAAACTTTTAATTTAACAAAAGTTTATGAAGTAGTTTGGTCCCTAAACTTTTTAATCAATATTAAAATTATTCATAAATTTTTTTTAGTAACTTTCATCCCTAAACTTTTATATTTAGTATCAAAATCGTCATTTTGTTAAGGTTAGACCCTTTTTTGGTCTCTTAACTTTTGTATAGAGCCTTTTTTAAGTTCCTCAACTAATAAAATCTCCTTAATTTTTTATCAGTCAAATTTAATTTTTTGGCCTTTTTTGGTTCCTTAGTTAAGTTTTTGACAATGTGGTAGAATGATCTGTTAACTAAAATTTTTTTTAAAAATTTAATGTTAGGTGAAAATTAAAATTTTATTCTATTGTTTATGTGGACATTTTAGCATATCCCTTCTAAATTAAAATAGTCATGTTAATATTTTAAAAACAAAACATAAATATGTTTTGGCCAACAAAGTAAAACATAGCGAAATGGCTACCTTACCCTTGTCTTCAACAGCTCCAGTTATGGCCCCCGGAGAGATTGTTAAGGCCACCAATACTCTACTTTTTGTTTTGTAAAATTGCCTCTTTATCTATTCAAGAAAAGACAAAAGTATAAGGGTAAGTTGAAAAGAAAGGGGTAAAAAGATAATTTAGCAAAACAAAAAAATAAAAGATTTGTGGCCTTAGCAATCTCACTAGTAGCCATAAAAATTACCAATCTTCAACCACCAGAACTTTCTTCTCTTCTTGATCCTTTTTTTTTTTTTTTTTCTAACTAGATCACCTCTCTCCCTCCATCATCGTTCGTTCTCTCCTTAGATTCATCTAGATTTTCAGCCTTGTCTGAATCTAATTCTGATTCTCACAGTAATTTAATAGAAGATAGAATGGGTGGTGGAAGACGAATATTGAAAGTTTTTTCTAGCCCCAGATGCTCAAAGAGAGTAATGCAGATAAAGATGGAGTATGGCCCAAGATTGTGTTCTAATCCATCTATTTAGGTATTGATGGAACTTAAATATTTTAATAAAAAATAAAATAATATATTTTATAAATTAAATTTATTGTCCCATTAAGGACTTGATCAAACTAGCTGTTAGAGGTTAATTATCCTATTTAAGAGCACATTATTTCATAATAATTGTTCAATTTATTCCTATCATTAACCTACAAATGGGAGTTACAAGACCATGAGTCCTATAAATAGGACATGTCTTTTGCTCAAAAATGGGTTTTTCTACATATTCCTCTATTCTTTCTTACCTCACTTTATTTTCTAAATATTTTTGGGTAAAAAAGGTTGTTTTGAGTAAGGTGTTTTGAGTAAGGTGACTCTATAGGTAATGCAAATTCATAGAGTGTTATTATAAAGCTGTATTATCCTGGGGGCGACATGCTTTATGTATCTCTGCTGTACTGGTTAATCTACTCTCTGTAGAGACGTGAATCACCTTAAAGTAAGTAAGCTTTTCACGCTTATTTAGATGATATTTTCTTATCAATATTTCTTGATAAGTTCATTAATTCTTATTTTATTTGATCTTGTGACTAAGGCACAACAATGACATGATGTGTAGATGGAGGAGAGTGTTCGAGAAACAACAATTTTAAGGCGATTCAACATGAAAAACAAAATTGAAACATGTGCTACTTTGTGTAAGCAAAATAAAAAATTTTTATTTTCTAGAATATATATGCTCCAAGCAGGTACGAATCGAATTGTTTAGTTTTGCTGAAAATACATGCAAGCATGTCTAGCAATCTATAAGGTTTATGTTGCTAGTTGATGATAGTGATTAATGCCATACTTCTTCTTGCATGGTATAACAAATACTCAATGGCTAAAAAAAAAAAATTGTTAATGCATTCTACATGTAATTTAACGTC